AGGCCCCCCCCAGAGCTGACATCCTCTCCCACACCTTCCTCTCTGCTGCAGACGCACCACGGAGAGCTGCCATGATGCTCCTCGAACGAGAGCAGGCAATTGTCCTCAGCACGGGAGACCTGGTTCTTAGAAGATCTTCCCCACCAAGAGCACCCCCAAATCACACACAGACTCTTAGGGACAAGCGTGAAGTCTCATGGTTTAATTTGGCCAGCAATATAGGAGGTCGAACAAGGAACTAGAAAAGTTAGTGCCTCAGCAGCTCCTGAAATGCTTCATTCATCCCATCCTCTTGTTTAAAGGACCGTCAGGGAGACACTAATCCTGGTGGATAGGGGTCCCCCTGCTTAACTTTATGTCACAGCTCAAAACTGAGTAATTAGGTCTACTCTTACCCTGAAGAAAAACGGACTGTTGGCATTGTATCAGAAAGAGCTCTAGGAGTCAGAGACCTGGGATCTAGTCCTTGTTCTGACACTTGCATTGGCAGAAGCTGAGCAAACCACCTAATCCCTCGGAGTCTCCATCTGCTCAACTGCAAAATGGGAACAAGAAGGAGGAGTCCTTCAGCATTGGGCAGTTCGGCACAGTAAACAGTGTGTACCCTCAAGTAATGCTGTCTGGGTTCACATCCCAGCTTCTCCCATCTTACTAGTTATGTAACCCTGAAACATAGCCTCTCTGCCTCAGTTTCCTCATCTGTGAAACGTATCTAGTTCACAGGACTGTTATCTACGAGGAATCACCTTAAGCTCTCATTGTAGGGTCTGGCCCTTAGCTCTTCCCATAACTGTCAGGTAGGCCCACTGCTGTCATGATTCGTGGGGGGCCCATGGGGGGAGATAAACATTTCCACCACAAGTAGGTATTTACTACAAGGATTAAAGGGCTTTGAATTACATGAACCCTTGATTTGTAGAAGGGTTTCGGAAAAACAAGTTCATAGGCCGAGGCTAATTCTGAAGCCCAAAAACATAAAGGAACATGACAGGAACCTGTGTCCTCGAGCGTGACACATACCAAATACCCACCAGACCACCTTCAACCAATTTGAACCACTTGGTAGTAATTTAAGGCATTTGTGGGAAAAGAGCCACAGACCTTCATCTCCCTTTCTATAGAATGATTTGCCAGCTCTTCTCTTTCTACAGACAACTCAGAAAGGCAGCAAAATGTGATCCCATTTTTTTTTTTAAGTCTAAAAGGTAACTGCCAGATCTGAGGTTTCTCATGAGAGGTTAAAACGATTAAAAAAGGAATTCATTAAGGTTGAGGGAGGGAGTTTACAAGGGCAGTGGTCTAACCTGGTTCTAAACTTCCCCACTTATTTCAACAAAGATATAAAGAGCTCTCCTTTTTCTTAAGTGTCAATTTCAAGTCAAAAGAACAGGTAGGAAATACACAAAGATATACATAAATCTCTGCTCAGAGCCAAAGCTGGAGCCAATAGCCGCGTGGGGAACCATGCTTAAACAAAGCAGCAAATCATATCTGACTGAAGCCATTCTCAGGCTTGGCTCCTCAATCACTCGGTACCTTCTGTGGAGTTCCATACATTAAATACAGCTTATTTATGGACTGCTTATTTTCTTAGGATCATGCTAACACAGTGTGTGTGTGTGTGTGTGTAAGAGAGAGAGCAGGAAACTGCGTGTGTATGGATGTGTGTGTGTGTGTGTGTGTGTAAGAGAGCAGGAGACTGCGTGTGTATGTATGTGTGTATGTAAGAGAGAGGACACTGCGTGTGTGTGTATGTGTGTGTGTTTGTGTGTAAGAGAGACAGCAGGAGACTGCGTGTGTATGTATAAAGTTGGATGTAATCTAGTCCCTGAACTTATCTACATTTTAAAAATTATAAAATGGGGGTAATCTTTAGCCATTTGTTTACCAAGTGTGTTCTGACTGCATAAATCTAATTGGCCTTCTGGCATAGAAAGAACACACAGACGGCCTTGCCTCAAGCTTAACTTATCTCAGATGCAAGCAAGCTCCTTATTCCCACCCTTCCCATCCGCCATCCACAACTGCCCGCCCTCTCAACTGCAATCAATCACACCCTTTCCTTCCTTCCGTCCAATAAATAATCCCTGGCCATTCACTGGGTGTCAGGCACCAGGGGAGGGAGTGCCCCCCTCCTGGGGGATTATAGGCTAGCTGAAAAGACCTATTTCAACAGGTAATTGGAGTAATTAATGACTTACCCCTTACATTTATCTCTGGACTAAATCATCTAGGTTCTTGTTCATTTCCTTCCTTCTCCGTTTTCTGCTTCCTTCCCTCTATTTGGCTCCAGAGACTTCACACACATATTTCTTTCTTTTCTTTCTTCCTTCCTTTCTTTTTCTTTTTTTCTTCTTTCTTTCTTTTTTAAAAGATTTATCTATTTTGGGGCTCTGGGTCGCTGAGTCAGTTAAGCCTCTGCCTTGGGCTCAGGTCATGATCTCATGAGAGAGCGAGCATGCATGAGCGGGGGGAGGGGCAGAGGGAGAGAAGCAGAATCCCCGCTGAGCACGGAGCCCCATGTGGGGCTCAATCCCAGGACCCTGAGATCATGACCTGAGCTGAAATCAAGAGTCAGATGCTTAACCCACTGAGCCACCCAGGTGCCCCTTCACATACATATTTCTATGCTGGTTTTCTTCTGGCTACCTAAATCTGTTTTCTCTCATCATTCTCCTTCAAACTCCTTAGGACTGCCTTCCTAGAACATTGCTTTCATCATTCATTCTCCTCAGAACACACTAGCACAACCCACAGCCTCCCACAGTAAATGTATTTCTCTGCCTGCCTTCCCTTATCCTCAATTATGTTCCCTTGATACCACAACTCAGTGTGATTTCCCAGAGAAGCTCTCTTTCTTTTTGGCCATCTTTCTCACTGTCTCTCAGATCCACTCTTTTTGTTTATTTGTTTGCAATCATGGGGATTCCTGACCTAGGACACCTTTCCTTCCATCGTTCTAAACTCTGCAAAACCTAGACTAAACCCCACCACACTTTTCCAGCTAGAGTAGCCCTCACCTTAAATTTCTCTGTGACAAGTGCTGATTTTGCTGATTCAATAAAAATGAACTTACAACGAAAACCCAGTCAGGTAAGAGTAATGATTCTGGGGCCCCAAAACTCCAGAACCTCAGAGCTGCAAATAGGGTGAGCCTTTTCTGCCAAATCCACTCGTGTTTTAGAACAGGGGTAAGTATTGTAGGCTTTGTGGATCATACAGTCTCTATTTCAACTACTCAACCACCTTGTTGTAGAGTGAGGGTAGCCAAAGATCAAATGTATACAAATTAATGTGGCGGTACTAAAAACAATTACTTACAGAAAGGGGCTGTGGGTGGAATTTGGCTTTGGGGCCATAGTTTGCTGACCCTGCACTAGAAGAAGAGTGGATAGTGGTGAAAATCTTTTCTTTTAGATGGTAAAGGACAACCGGAAGTGCCTCAGATCAGCCCCTTATCTTCCCTAGGTAGCTCAACTGTTCCCTAGGAGTATATTCCCAGCCTAGAAGTCACTACCACGAGAATTTGGGCTGTGGCCATCTGTTAGAGCTATTTTGGTCAATGAAGAAGAGATAATGAAACTACTTCTTTGCCTAAGCTGGAGATATGTCAAGGAAAGAGTCCACTGTCTCATCCTCCTACTTTCCTCCAGACTGGAAGGACGCTCAGGGCTCAGTACCTCGGGGCTAACAGCAAACTTTCACTCATACTTCCACGTGCCAGGCCCTGCACGCTCTCATTTAGTCCTTACGTCAGTCCTATGACGTAGATGTACTTTACCTCGTATCTATTTCTCATATGGACGAAACAGAGGTCTTAGTCCGTGTTAGCCACTGATCCACTACAGAAATGAAGGTGGTGCTTACAAAGGTGTGCCGTGGGAGTAAGACAACTCTGGCCGAGAGTCTTTTTTTTTTTATTCTTATGTTAATCCCCATACATTACATCATTAGTTTTAGATGTAGTGTTCCATGATTCATTGTTTGCGTATAACACCCAGTGTTCCATGCAGAACGTGCCCTCCTCAATACCCCTCACCAGGCTAACCCATCCTCCCACCCCCCTCCCCTCTAGAACCCTGTTTGTTTTTCAGAGTCCATCGTCTCTCATGGTTCGTCTACCCCTCTGATTTCCCCCGCTTCATTCTTCCCCTCCTGCTACCTTCTTTTTTTTTTTCTTAACATATATTGCATTATTTGTTTCAGAGGTACAGATCTGAGATTCAACAGTCTTGCACAATTCACAGCGCTTACCAGAGCACATACCCTCCCCAGTGTCTATCACCCAGTCACCCCATCCCTCCCACCCCACCCCCCACTCCAGCAACCCTCAGTTTGTTTCCTGAGATTAAGAATTCCTCATATCAGTGAGATCATATGATACATGTCTTTCTCTGTTTGACTTATTTCACTCAGCATAATACCCTCCAGTTCCATCCACGTCGTTGCAAATTCTGGCCGAGATTCTTATCTCGAAATGAATGTGAAAAAATAATGAAGATGGCTCATTACCTCTAGTCCTTACAACAACCTCTCAAAGAGCATATATTTTCCACTTTATTCTTGGAAAATTAGGCTCATAAGGGTTCTGCAGTTTATCCAACTTTGTCTATTTAGAAAGATCAGAGTTAAGATTCACATCCACACCCGTCTGGCTCAATAAACTGTTAGCTCATTTCTTTGAGCTGCTGACCAACTTAAATGTGTTTTAAAAGCCTCAAAAATGCTTGCTCATCTAAAGTGAGGATTTATGTCAGCTTCTTCGGGTCTCATGTCCCTAGGGAGGGCCTCAGAGAAGCACCAAGGCCAACCGACACTGTGATCTGAGGACTGGTGCCGAGAACAAACTGCAGAAGTGGGCACGGCCCCTCTTCCTTCACCACCAACCAAGTCTCTGGCTGTACTACCTGATTCAAACGGCATAAATGGCTTTTTACGGTGGTGACGCTTCCCTCACACATACTGTGGTGGTGCTGAGGCAGAGGGAGGCATGTTCTTACCAGCCTGTCATATTAAAGTCCCTGTAGAGCATCTTCTTTCCAAGTTCCTTTCTCTGTACTCTCCTTGGAAACTCCAAATGTGTGAACTCATTTCCCAGCAAGTGAGGCTGCATGAATGCCTAATAGCAAAAGAAAGGAAAAAAAAAACCACACACACACATATTTAGAAGAAAAAATAAGACTCAATGATGTTTTGCAAATCAAGACAGTCCGTATTTCAAAAACAAGAAAATTGTTCTATTTTAAGGGAAATAAACAGATTTACAAATCTACAAAGAGAGTTATCAGCAAATAAAAATCACCAACTGAATTTATAAAGGGATGTAACTATTTCATTTCATGTGATAAATTAATTGTAATCAGAGACACAGATCACTAAAGTCAAAAGAAAAAGAAACTGAGTTTCTCCAAAAGTTCACTTTTTAATTCAAATCCATGACTGTTTCATTTTCCCGAGCGGCATGTTGATGCAGCAAGAAAGCTCACCCTGACTCTCCTCTTTGGCTCTCTCTGTTCTCCTACTCACACTCTTGGCGATCATGGCCTTGCCTTTGAAACCTGCATGTGAATCTCCACATGGACACAATGGCCCCAGAGAGCAGGTTGGGGCTGGATACACCAGACGGGAACTTTCTGTTGGACTCCTTCCATTTTGCTCTGCAGTAATTTGATCATGTAATTGGAAGACTATTCCAGAGCAGATGGCTTCTTCCCCTCCCCCAAATCTCTGTTCACACTACAAAAGTCTTGAGCAAACAGCCACTTAGGGAATTGCTTTGAAACAACAAACAGTCTCATTGTCACGTTCGAAATTCAAATCCGGCTATCCAAGAGATGAAATGCTCAAGTATTAACTTCCCTGCTCGAAGGCCACACACCATAAGCAAACTTGCATTGAAGCCTCCCCGCACCATGCTGTATGCCTGCTTATTAGCAGTGTGGTGGAATGGATCCTTTCTCTTCCTCCCTCCCTCCCCTCACTCTCTCACTCTCTCTCTCTCTCTCTGGCAGGGAAGAGTGGGCAGAACAAATCATGACCTGGCACTGTAGGAAAGCAAGGGATCCCTGCCACAGGACAGATGGCCATGTCTTCAGTCTACTGGAAATAGGCATCTCCCACAGCCTCTTTCCCAGGACCTGACACAGGCAGATCTCCTGCTGATTCTCATGGCGGTTTGGAGGTTCATTTGGACATTGGTCATCCTAAGCTAAGCCTATCAGGAAACAGAGGAAGCAAGCTGAACTGTCACCAGGTTGGCTAGGCTGGGCCAGGTAACGGAGTTCTGAGCAGGCTTGGAGACATGGCAGGATAGTACTGAAAAGAGGAAGCGTCTTTACTTCCTGCTGTAGCCCCCAAAGTTTCCAGGTCTGGCAGAATTCTCGATCATCTTTGAGGGGCTCTTAAACTTCTGCTGGGGTAAGCGTTGGGCTGCTGATGAATATCAAGAACACTTAAACACTGAGTTTGACAGAGAGGTTCCCTAGGAAGGAAGGAAGGAAGGAAAAAGAAAGGAAGGAAGGAAGAAAGAAGGAAAGAAAGAAAGAAGGAAGAAGAAAGGAAAGGAAGGGAGGGAGGGAGGGACGGAGGGAGGGAAGTAATACTTCATAGGGCACGTCAGTGGTGTGGGCTTTGGATGAGACAGACTTGGGTTTGAATCCAAGTTCTGCATTTATAAGCTGTGTGATTTTAGTTGGTGATTAAGCTTCTGGAGCCGCAGTTTCTTAATCTCTCCTAGATTAATTGTGTATTTATCTCACATGTTTAATAATTAAATGAATGCACTTATCGTAGGTATCTCTGCTCATAAAAAAAATTACTGTATCCATCTAATGATTACTGAGCCCTATTACACCCTAACTACGACATGTGCTTTGTGAGCTCTCATGTCACGCTGCCAACAACCTTACAAGGGGGAACTGGCTACAGAATCTGCGGGGCCCAGTGCAGCATGGAAATATGGAGCCTCTGTTCAAGATTAAGGATTTGTAGACAGCAAGAGCAGAGCATTGAACCATGTACAGGGCCCTGTGCAGCTGCAGGAGTTCCACCCAGGAGGCCAGCTGTCCGGATTGAAGGAGCAGAGGCATCAATTGTCAATGAACGGCAGCATCTACTATGCACCCCGCATCATCCCCTAGGACCGTGGGACCCCATCAGCATGACATTTTTCTCCCTACCCCAGCCCCCCAAGCTGTTCGAACACTGACTTAGGGGCTACCAGATAACAGGCACTTGATATGCTTGTTACTACATCAACAGTCCTACAAAGCACGTGTCAAAGACTCAAGTTACAAACGAGGAACGAAGATCCAGAGAACTTAAAAGACACCTCACCCAAGGTGATGAGCCAGGGCTGGGTGGTTTCAGAGACTGAGCTTAATACTATGTCCATAACCCCCATTCTAACCCTTTAACCTGCACACACATTTATAAAAAACAGAAAGCGGGCAAAAGGCCTGTGGTCCTGTTGCTCCTGGACCATGCAAAGTCTGAATCGCTAGTAGGTACCCATGAGGATCCAGTTAACAAAAAATTACAGGTCTGCACACAGCTTGGCCATAAGGATGTTCCTCAAGTAGCTAGAAGAAATCCTTTAATAATACGAGTGATCAAATGAGGAAAAATCCATCCAGAAGAATTCTATGGTATCATTTATACTGACACTACAGAGAATATGTAATGACATGGAAAGAGTAGATGTATTTGCAAAAAGCAGGTTATCAAACAATGTATGTCAGTGAGTGTGTGTGTATGAGCTTATGTAAGTGGTGTCAGACATACACGGATCCATATATAAGATATATACGTACATACAAGTGCATGTGTGTATATCAATACAGGTAAATGCCACACATATATATTATTAACAAGCAGGTTAGGATCCAAAGGCCATTTCTAAGTACATTTCTTCACAGACTCAAGTGACCAAGAGGGGTCAGTGTGCAGCATTCCAGGTACTTGGCCCCCTTACCAGGAGGCTGAGTAGCCCTTTGATGGTGCTTGAACCGGGTACCCTCACACCCTTTCTGCTGGTACACATTTGCCTGGGCAGTGGTAAGGGAAGATCTGCTGAGGCAGATGTCTGCAAAGCCCCTAGGAACTCCTGAGCAGCTTGCTCTCTGCATGGGCCACCTCACCTCTCCCTGTGAGGATGAGCAGGCTCAGAGGGACCTTAAATCCCGTGTTCCTGTGACATCTGGAGCCCCTTCACACGCAGAGGCTTTCAGGGGTTCAAACTGCTTGCTGTCTCCCATTATAACAACATGCTACTGTGTTTCACCCACTCTAAGATGCCCTTTATCAGAGGAGCTATTATTTTCTTACCCCTAAGAAAGGGGAAGAAGTTGCCAATTATACTATGTACAGTACTTTCTAGCCATTTTGAATTTTTATTTTATTCTTTTTGAAAGAGCTCCTTTGGACTTAGACAAATTTTTATATATCAATCTGGGGTGTATTTAAAAAGAATATCTAGGTGAAGTATATCGGCTAAGGTTTTCCAAAAACGTTTTCACGTTTAGAATCCAACTGCTCATCGGTTTTCAACGCTGAGTCACTAATGTTCGTGATTTTCCACACACCAGCAGCCCGTGTTTCCTTGGAGCACTGGTGAGGCAGCGTTTCTTTTTCTTTTTTAAAGATTTTATTTATTTATTTGAGACAGAGAGAATGAGAGAGACAGAGAGCACATGAGAGGGGGGAGGGTCAGAGGGAGAAGCAGACTCCCCGCCGAGCAGGGAGCCCGATGCGGGACTCGATCCCGGGACTCCAGGATCATGACCTGAGCCGAAGGCAGTCGCTTAACCAACTGAGCCACCCAGGCGCCCGAGGCAGCATTTCTTAAATAATCCACCGAACAAGCCTCGGAACCAGGGGTGCAAAGCTCTTAAGTCAGCTCTGCAATTCTCTCCAGTCGGCTAACTTCTAACTCCAAATTCAGGAATGTGGCTCAACAAGTCAGGTTCACATCTCCAAGCCCCTCTGCACAACCAGGAGAATCCAAGGAGACTTAGGAGGGCTTCATTTTTGTCTGCAGGGTTTTCTTCTAAGCTGCTGGACGCCCACTCTGCAAGTCTGGGGCTGCTCTTTTGATGTCCATACATGCCCAGGAGAGGACATCCTCGTCATGCCTGACACTAGGCTGACAGCACCCATCGGTTGCAAAATATCCCACCTTCAGATAGGTCAAAAGGTGGAAAAAAAAAAAAGTGCCTTAGCTCTGAAGAAATACTGTAAGATTCATCTTCCACTGATACTGATGTCACACCCTTAGATTTCTCCACCTTTATGGTTATTTTTCTTCTTCTCTTACTAACTGCCATGGCACATTTCACATAATGCAGGACATATTTTCTGTCACAATTAGGCCCACCATAGAATTCACCTGTATTCCTTGTGTACCTAGGACATGTTTGTACTATTTTTTAAAAATCACCATCCATATCCTAATTGTAGCCTCCCTTCTTACCAGCCATCTTAATACTCACTATTGTTATATTTGTCAGACCAGATGGGAGTTACTGGTGTTAAAGAAAAAACAACTCAAGAACTAAGTAGAGTAGAGCAAATAGGTGGTTGATTCATGAAAAATGAGATGCTATAACATAATGGGACACACACCTGTAGGTTTTCAGAGGAAAACATACTTCTGCTCATTTGTGTAGATCTTTTTCTGCGGTACTCATGAAAGTTTTCGTATTTCGTCTTAGTTAGGTGGGCTGTTATACTGAAATACCACAGGCTGGGGGTTTGAACACTATGCCTCACAGTTCTGGAGGCTGGGAAGTCCAAGATCAAGGTGCCAGTGGATTTGCTGCTTGGCTGGCAGACTACCTTACTGCACCTCACGCAGGCTTTCCTCTGTCTCTCGCGGGAGAGAAATCGAGATCTCTGGGGTCTCTTCTTAGCACATTAATCCTATCTGATGAAAGCCCTACTCTTTTGATCTCATTTAATCTTAATTCCTTGTATAAGGGTCCTACCTCCAAATTTAGCACTCCAGGGGGTAGGGCTTCAACATAAGTTTTAGGGGCGATAGCAGCACAAACAGTCCGTAACATGGTCTTCTATGTATATGGTTTGTATAAGCACATACACTCAGTCATCTAAATGTAAAAT